TCTTTCCAATGTCAGAGAGGAGAAGGCACAAAAAAGACTCAGGAGTGTTTGGCCATCTCCCCTCCTCTTCGCCTCTTGTCTACTTCAAAAGTGAATGTGGTTCGGGCTGGGGATGTGGCTCAAGCGGTAGCGCGCTCGCCTGGCATGCGTGCGGCCCGGGTTCGATCCTCAGCACCACATACCAACAAAGATGTTGTGCCTGCCGAAAACTAAAAATAAATAAATAAATTAAAAAATAAATAAATAAATAAATAAATTTGAAGTCAGGCATGGTGGTACACTCCTATAATCCCAGCTACTTGTGAGGTTAAGGCAAGAAAATTGCAAGAATAAGGCCAGCCTCAGCATAGTAAGACCCTCAGTAACTTAGCAAGATCATATCTCAAAATAACAAGAATTAGGATGTAGCTCAGTGGTAGAACAAGCCTGGCTAGTCTGTGTGAGGCCCTGTATTCAATCCCTAATACCTAACAAATATATAAATTCAATTAAAAATTAAAAATATAAATGACCCAATTTTAAAATGAGCAAAGAAGCCTGATGGGTTGTTGCATGCCTGTAGTCTCAGATACTCTGGAGGCAGAGATGAGAGGATCACCCGAGTCCAGGAGCTGGAGACCCATCTGGGTAATATAGTGAGACACTGTCTCAAAAATAAACAAATAATAATAAAATGAGCAAAGAATCTGAATAGTCTTCTAAAGAAGGTATTTTAAAAAATGGCCAAAAATCACAGGAAAAGATGCTCAACATTATTAGCAACCAGGAAAATGTAAATTAAAACCACAACAAGATATCATTTCACAACCACTAGAATGGCTATCATAAAAAAGACAAGAACAGGTTAGAGCAAAGTTGTTGAGAAATTGGGACCCTTATATGCTGCTGGTAGAAATGCAGAATGGCATAAGCCCTTTGGAAACAGTACAGAGTTCTTTAAAAGGCCAAATGCAGTTACCATATGACCCAGGTATTGTAAGCAAGGTATGTGTATATACACAAGAGAAATGAAAATATACTCCACATAAAATACATACTTATATTTAGAGTAGCCTTAT